CAAACTGCAGTAGAGCTGCCGTGGCAATGACAGGTTGAGGACATGCTGGGGAGACCAGGAGGGTGACCATCATTCCCTCTGTTTCTGTAGACATCTGTAGATTTTCTTGTGTTTTAACACATAAAATTTGGAGTCAGATAAAAACCCCACATTACTTTGTCAAGAAATCAATTCTCAGTAAGGTCTGTCTTTTGGATTTTATTTTTGTGAGCAAAAATATTTACTCGCCTCGTATTGTCCACCACACCTGAGTGACTTTACCCCTCTGTTCCCTGTTCTTCATGGGAAAAACCACCCGACTGCCTCATCATTTCCTGCTTATGGGAGTAGGTTGCCACTGGTTGTAAGTGGGAGAGGAAAAAAGACCACAAACAGAGCAGTTGAACACCTGTGTGTATAAGCCCTTTAACACACACTTGAAGAAAATCTTTCATTACTTTTTAAGGATTGCTTAATTATGACATACCATCTTACAAAACTAATTATTTCAATTGACTTAAAAAAAAAAAAAAAGTAGTTTAGTTTGCAGGGTGTTCCAGCTATTCACCTCCAATGAAAATGCACTTGATGTGCTAAAGCTCCCCTGGCAGCACTTGATGTGGTAAGGCCCCCCGGGCAGTATAGGAAGCGCGGGGCCCAGCCGCTGCCAGTTTTGAATAGTTTTGCCTCAGTTGCGTCCACCTCTGACTCACAATGCTCTGAACCCCAAATTGCTGCTGACTGGGAGAGTATATTTGCAAGGCATCATTATTACTTACCCAGAGCTAACACCTTTCCCAGGCATCTCCTACGAGACCCATCTCCATATCTGACCCTTGCAGTCAGTCCCTGTCATGCAGAACAGCAGTAACTGAATTTCAGCGATATTTATATCACTGAAAATATCTATATTTATATATAGATATATATTTTTATAGATACAATATCAGATGTATTAAAAGTTTTGCAGCAAGTACACACCAAGGCTGCTGATGTCTCTCCAGACTGGCTGGAACAGCAAGACTTCAAATTAAATCCAGTAATAAAGTCTTCTCTTTCTTCCTCAGGTACTTGGTACTTCAACTGGCTGCCAGGTAACTTGCTGGGAAGAACAGATAGTTGGTGTCTTCTCCTTTTGCTCAGCCACAGTCTCTGTTCACTAGGGAGGTCGAGCTGCACTTTTTCCTCTTCCCTACCTCCTCTCACAAGATAAAACCCTTATGACACATCTTTCACCAAACACTGGTCAGTACAGAAGTTTTCTTGCACTGCAGCTTCCCATAATTGGGATATAGCAGACATTAAAAATACCACCTGCGGTGATAGTCCCTGCCAGGCAAAGAGGTTAACCAGGCAGATTGACATCATGAATTTAGGAGCAAGCCTTGGTACGCCGATGCCTGGGTTCCCCACTACAAAATAGTGATAATTCACTACCTCCTGCCTGCAGTCCTTGCACAGCTCGAAGGTGAGCTATTGCTTCATGCGCATCCTACAGGAACCTTCTCTTTTGTTCGTGTCACCTTGATATTTGAATTTAAGTATTTGTTTTACAACAGTACTACTAGCTTGCAATTAAGCCTCCATTAAACCCAGGGCTACTGTTTCATCTGCACAAGGGAAGAAGCTAGCTAGCTACTTGAAGTCTAGAGGTTTCACTCTTGTGAAACTGGAGTTGGTCTCCTTGTTGCAGGGAGTTCTTCAAGGGGTTACTATAGAGGCCTTCTCCACATTAAAGGCACTAGACCTATCCGTCATTTGAAATGGGATTTTATTCCCAGTTCCTTCAGAGCTTCGTTTTTTTACTTTTCTTTCAAACTGTTCAACATTGGAATTCTAGCGTAAGAATTGTTGTAACCAGATCTGAGCATGTCTTCCAATGGTATCTATATTAATACTACTTAGAATCCTACTGTCTGATTTTCCATGAAGGTCAATTATTTCACTGAAGTACTGCAGTAGTAAGTGGTTTAATACATTAAATAGAAATTGGTTCAGTAGATAACACATTAAAAAACAATAAAAACTATGAGACTTAATCTTTTTGAATACTTACAGAATAAGATTCACCCTTAATGTCCACCAGGGCTGTCTTGAAGCACATTGGCCACAACGCGCCACAAGTCTAACGCTTGAGGTGGCTGTGGAACACGAGAACAGCTAATTTCTGAATTTCAAGGCTGGTAGTGGTTACGCTATTCATACCATAAAAGCAAATGTGTTTTTGTATCTCAAAACAGTTAGTTACAAAACTCTGCATTGATAACAACTGCATCAAAAGGCAGCGAGTTATCTAATACAAGCTCCTTCTTCTGCCATTAAAATTCCTGCTCCTTTGAAGCTCTTTTCTGTACGAAGTTGTTTACACATTTTCCATGTTTTGTTTATTTTAGAAATTTTGCTTTTGGCTGTATAGACTAATTTTAGTAAGTTTCCATTCTTACACATCTTTGATTATTAATATTGCAATACAGTATAGGTAAGAAGGTAGTTTATAAGGCTTTAAGTAGATTCAGACAGGTCCTACATCAGTTTTGGGGCTTTAAATTATGAACTACACACCAGTTAACATTCCTTGCTTGTAATATACTTGGATTTAGGCGAAACAGTCTGAAAAACGATTAAAACATACATGTAATTAAAAGGTCCCATAGCACTCTAGTACCTTATTAATTAAAGCAATCTCCATATGCCTACCCACTTTCAAGATACTTAGCACAAATCGGTCAATCGCTAATTCTGTTTCTTCATCAAGTGAAGTAACAATAAATAACGTTTCCAGACCCCTATCTTTGGAAATGGGCATGCCTGCCACCTATATCCACCACCCAGATCCACCATCCCGGTCACAGTTCTCCACATTACCTGGGACACCACCTTCAACCCCTTACGCACTGCCGTTTCCAAGGGGCAATTCGATTTTTTCCAATTAGGAAATATTTGGATTACAAAGCCATAAGCGTCGCAGAAGTAACTTAAAGCAACTATCTTCAACTCTACGGATTGTTGTTTTAGAGTGATTTGGTACATTCTGAACGCTCTGCTTAGCAAATTGTAGGCAGCCACCTTCCTATCCCACACCTATTCTTCATCCTTTGTAAAAGGAATACGACGGGCTTTAGAATTACCCTAACGGTGAAACACGGCTTTCTGTCAAGTCTGTTACTTGTGAACATGTTACTGAGAGTATTGGTATTTTACATTCCTCTCAAAGACAGAAATGACTTTGCCTTGGCTCCCTCTCCCCTGTTCAACTACATTTAACAGTTCAAATAGGGTATAAGGAAATTCTGAACTAACAGCAGGATCTAGTTTTGCCTCCACTCTAGTCCGGTATTTGTACTAAAAGACCATTTCCATTCATTTTTGGCAACATCAAGTCACTTTTTTCTTATTGTTCCTCCCTCCAATTTAGAAAAAATTAGGCTGGTATGTTTAGGTATATTCAAAAAAGAAAAAATTACCTCCTCATGAACCTGGAACATTATCATTCCACACAGATTTTCAAAGTAAAAAAGGCTAGAAGCAAACCCACATGCTAGAACTGAATTAGATTCTCTCAATTATTCAATGCTCAACAAATCTATTCAACCTCATTATCTCTGCAAAGCCATTCAAGGCCATTGAATAAAAGCCACCCCAAGCATACCCACCAGCCTCACGCAGCACACTGGATCAACAGCAGAGAGTAGTCAGTGGCGAGAGATGAACTAGGATTGAAAATAAGCCCATTTAAATTCGGAGCAAGTTTAATTTCTGCTGGTTTTCCTTAGTACTGCCAAAAAACCTACTGAAATACACCATGCTAGTTTAAAGTTTCTTCATTTATCACTCTACCTACCTCAAAACCATGTATGATTGACTGTA